ATACATTTATATATATTTATATATATGTTTTAAATAAATAAACATACACACACACACATGTACGCACACACACACACACACATATATAGATATATGTATATATAAACAAATATACATATATATATATATATAGATATATATTTATATATATATATCTATATATACATATACACGTATATCGATATATAGATATATATACAATATATATATATATATATGTATTATAATATATATATATATATATATATATATATTATAATATATATATATATATATTATAATATATATAGATATATATATATACATATAAATATATATATATATACATATATATATATATTTATATATACATATACATATATATTTATATACAAATATACTTATAGTGGTATATTACCATATATCCATGTTCATGTCCATGTACATATCGGTTTTCATTTTCAAAATACTAGTATCTAGACAACATTTAAAAATATAAAAACATGTGAATATATTTTACCGCTTTAGTTGTGATATATATGTGAACCTGCGAATAGCACTGACTGCGAAATTTAGGTATTTAGTCATATTCATTCCTACACTTTGAGTTTTGTATAGTAAGGATGTACTATCCACTTTCAGCTGTGGGCTACTAGGTACTTTTGGTTAGTTGTTGCCCATGACACTATTTTCACATTTATGAAACTGTACGTGGCACGCTATATAGATACTATTTCAGGGGCTGATAGCTGTGGGTACTCGCCGCGGTTATCATACAGGATTGTTAATACGGAGAGGCGCCTGCAATATAAAGTTGAACACAATGGACGACGACATGATGCATATCCTAACATTTAATCAGACTTGTCGAAATGGAAGTGTTTCTAATTTATAACGCTCTGCACATCCCACCATGAAAAGCTCGCGAAGCGTGTGATTTCTGCGCACTCCTGAATGAAAGTATATCTGTGTGGACGTAAACTACTGGAGCGTGATCCGGACGTGGAACGCATTCATTCTACGTTCCGCATCCTGTACGCCGTGTACGAGTGTTTACATCAACACTGTTTGAAAAGGCTTTCCAAGCGTCCAAGTGTTCACAATCTGACGCTGGACTCCGATTCATGAGACAGACCGGTTCACGCCCATGGAATATATTAAGAGTAATTATCTGCCAATTTGCTGGTGGTCGTCAACACCACTCATGATTGGGCGGGGCCCCTCTAAGTAGAGCTGAGTGTATCGAACACACCAAAGTGCGCATACACACTGAACAAAACGCGCCGCGTTAAGCCTTATACTGTTGAGATCAAGGATAAAGCAAGGAACAGGAACGTTAGTATTTACTGAGCTCAAGGCATTCGATTGCGTCTTCTGACGTGGAAACAACATTCTAGCACAGCCTCATTGTGCAACAGTATGGCACACGAAACAGACAGTACGATAATTCATGAACGATTACAAGTATATATAAAAATGCGCTACAATTTGGGTTGGTTTCTAGCAGGATATACACCTTATTGCACACTGATGTGTAGACGTGGGAGTAGACTTGTATCCGCTACAATGTACTGTGCACTCTACTAAGAAAACGGAACATAAAAAAGTATACTGGGACTCAAGCGGAAACCCTTATCGTATCAAAATACGAGTATGTGGTTGAATGTTAAATAGAAACAGCCGTAGACACACTTCACCACTCCCAAGATCCATCGGCCGATGTTGCGCCTGCAAAGTTACAAACTGCGTTTTATCACTAAGAGAGTTTTGTGGATGCATGACACACTCAGTCACAGGTGTACCTGATAGCTGTTATTGTCACCCAGTCGCTCCATATAGTCCTTCTCAATGAGATGCTCAATAGCTTGTTTGATCTTGGGCACTGATGGCCTAAAACGCGACTGTAGAACCTCGATGACCTGCAAAAAGGCGCCCATCGCATAAGTGCGTTAACAGATTCCGATACCAATATATGATCCGAAATAGGATATAATTTCGAGCGTGATTCAAGACAACGTATAGTCAGTTTATCACATAGGCCAGATAACGACAGAGCGCGGCATGCATTGTTAGTGTGGGCAACTCACAAGCGCGCAGTCACCCATGTATTCAACCGAGTGGAGATTTTTAAAACAATACTCAGCATAGTGGTCGCTCAGTTTAGAATACCACATGTAAGTCAATAAAAACCAAATCGTGGTGAAAAGTGCAAATAATCACAAAGCAACAATGACTGCAAGGAATCTAATACATTCAGGCATGGCAGTTTGAAAAGTATACATTCTTCGGCATGTCGTGAATAGCATACCTGTTTAAGTAATTCTTGGTGGTGCAGTGTTTTGCGCATCTTCATTACACGAACAACGCACGCCTGCATGGTCGGTTTACCACACCCGGGGTAAGAAATAATGACAAAAAATAGTTTGAGCTTGATTCTTGGGCTTCGAATGTGCTCCGAGATCTACGATCTCATATCTTAAATGAAGTAATTGACCTATAGACTAATAAACATTATACGACAGAATCACACAGGTTTCTCATTTCAGTTGATCAGCACAAACATCTACCCCCCCACACACAAATCGGAACGTGACAGGTCAGAGTTTCAAATAGCCATGCCAGTATTGGATGGTTTATGACGCACGCGTAAAAGTAGATTGTGAGGTACTACTTTAGCTTGCGAATGTGTCCCAAGATCACAATCCGACTTCTTTCGCAAAGTGATTTGAAATACAAAAATGATAGGTAACAAGCAAGAAAAGCAGCCACAGGAACATTCTCTTGTCCATAATTCACGACAGTCACCCACTCAACCCCCCCCCAAAGAATCGGGACGTGACTGGGAAGAGTTTCAGGAAGCTATATCGATGGTATATGACTAATACACTAACCCAATCGCAATATATATAGACTGTTCGTTACCTGAATAGCCAGCTTTCGACCCTCTTCAATTTGTATATCAGTTTGCTTAGCCTCTTTTTTCTGCTCCGTCTTGATGGGCTGGTTGATATTGAACTTCAACTTTTTGCTGCGACGTAGATGAGCAAGGCTAACGTTACTTTCGACTGCTGGACATACTTGAGCTACACAGGTATTGGTCTCAAGTGATTCTATGTGCCCGTACTACTAGCAAGCAACGACCTGCCTGAAAACTAGTGCATTATTGAATAGACACCCATCACATTGCGATATCAAGTGCGCTGGGACAACGTAGCATCAGCACAACAATATGACACAAGACATGAACAAACACAGGAGACGTGACCAAACACACAAAACATGAACCTCGCACAGGCATGAACAAATGAACAAACACACAAGGAATGAATTGACACTATCTACGTCAGTCGGAGATGCTAGAAAAACGGAATACGGAATACGTACTTCTTGAAGGACGAATTGAACGTGAGAACACTGTCGCTTTTCAAATCGCCTTCTGTCTTGGTGAGCAGAATCTTTGCCTTCAAAATGATCCCGAGATGTCCCCTGTGCGCGAGGAGTGGTGCGGTATGCGTTTTAAGTATCAGCAGCATACATATAAGAGGACATAGCCACATACTGGGTGTGCCTTAGAACAAAAGGATAATCGGATGAGTTATATGCTATGACTAAATGGGTCATACGAATGTAAACAGGTGCACATATCTCCATACCGAGATAATATATAACACACACACACACACACATATATACATATACATGCATACATGCATACATACATATACATACATATGTACACACACACATTCATATATATATATATATATATAAACAAATACATGCATACATGCATACATGCATACATGCATACATACATATACATACATATGCACACACACACACACACATACATATACATATACATATACATATACATATACATATATACATATATATATATATATATATATATATATATATATATATATATATATATATATATATATATATA